ATTAAGAAATTGCCACAGCCACCCCAGCCCTCAGCAACTGCTACTCTGAACAGTCCGCAGCCATCAATATTGAGGCTAGACTCTCCATCAGCAAAAGATTGACGCGCTGAAGGCTTAGATGATTGCACTTCTCCGTAATGAATTATTTCAAAATTAAGATATGTGAGAAGCTATTTGGTGAAAGAAAATTAAGGTATGTAGATTTTTTAGATATAATGCTATTGCACACTTAATAGGCTACAGTATAAACATAACTTTTATAAGCACTGGGAAACCAAACTATTTGTGACCATTTTTATTGTGATATTCGCTTTATTGCAGTGGTCTGGAACTGAAACCGCAATCTCTGTTGTATGCCTCTACTTACATGCTATTTGTTTTGAAACCATTCCATGCATGCAAGACATCACACCTGTGCACACTAAACTCTTAAGGTTATGTATGCTGTAGAAAGCAACTAAGGTTTATGCGTTTATGCATTTATGTTTTTTCTCTTAATTGCCGTTCAGCCTTCTAGAGTCTCTTTAAAGCAGTCTATAATGGCTTGTAAGTTGTATTCCTAGGTATTTTATTCTCTTTGTAGCAATTGTGAATGGGAGTTCACTCATGATTTGGTGCTGTTTGTCATTATTGGTGTATAGGAATGCTTGTAATTTTTGTAGATTGATTTTGTATCTTTATACTTTGCTGAAGTTGCTTATCAGCTTAAGGAGATTTGGGGTTGAGACGATGAGGTTTTCTAAATACACAATCATGACATCTGCAAACAGAGACAACTTGACTTACTCTTTTCCTAATTGAATACCCTTTCTTTCTTTCTCTTGCCTGGTTGCCCTGGCCAGAACTTCCAATACTATGTTGAATAGGAGTGGTGAGAGGGCATCCTTGTCTTGGGCATTTTCAAAGGGAATGCTTCCAGTTTTTGCCCATTCAGTATATTGGCTGTGGGTTTGTCACAAATAGCTTTTATTTTGAAATGTTTCATCAGTACCTAGAGTTTTTATCATAAAGGGCTGGTGAATTTTGTTGAAGGCCTTTTCTGCATCTATTGAGATAATCATGTGGTTTTTGTCTTTGGTTCTGTTTATATGCTGGATTACGTTTATTGATTTGCGTATGTTGAACCAGTCTTGCATCCCAGGGATGACGCTGACTTGATCGTGGTGGGTAAGCTTTTTGATGTACTGCTGGATTCAGTTTGCCAGTATTTTACTGAGGATTTTCACACTGATGTTCATTAGGAATACTGGCCTGAAATTTTGCAAAAACTTTTATAATATGAATGCCAAAATATTTATTTTGAACTGTTTGTACCTTGGATTTTCTTTTTTTTCTTTTTTTTTTTTTTTGAGACGGAGTCTCGCTCTGTCGCCCAGGTTGGAGTGCTGTGGCCGGATCTCAGCTCACTGCAAGCTCCGCCTCCCGGGTTCACGCCATTCTCCTGCCTCAGCCTCCTGAGTAGCTGGGACTACAGGCGCCCGCCACGGCGCCCGGCTAGTTTTTTGTATTTTTTTTAGTAGAGACGGGGTTTCACCATGTTAGCCAGGATGGTCTCGATCTCCTGACCTTGTGATCCACCCGTCTCGGCCTCCCAAAGTGCTGGGATTACAGGCTTGAGCCACCGCGCCCGGCCGTACCTTGGATTTTCTTAACATACAACCTCATTAGTAAATCCCTAAAAGGACCAGTCAGATAAACCAGCATCACCATCAAAGTCTGGCACTTGGTGGCCTAGTTTGTTTTTACTTCTTGTTAAGAACACCCTGGGCTGAATGCAGTGGCTCATGCCTGTAATCCCAGCACTTTGGGAGGCTGAGGCAGGAGGATCGCCAGAACCCAGGAGATGGAGGCTGCAATGAGCCATGATGGTCCCACTGCACTCCTGCCTGGATGACAGAGGGAGACCCTGCCTAAAATAACAATAATAATAATAATAACAATAATAATAATAATAGAGAACACCCTGATTTTTCCTTGGAGAAATGCCACTTCTTAGGTCAGTATATTTTCATTTAAAAGGTGAGGAGGGCTTAACTCTGGTTGATCTGTATATTCTATCCTCTCCCTCAAAGCAATGGCAATTGGGATTCAGTCATCTGCAATGGAAAGATTCCTGACTGAATTTTCTGGTTCAGTTATCTTGGGGTTAAAGGCATTAGTACATAGGCAAAGAATCCATATTCCCAAGTATCTTGCAGGGAATGTTAAAACAGCCTTTATTCCATACCACATGTGGAAACATGGGAAAATAATTTTATTAAATGTTTAACTTGCAACTAACAAGGAAAGATTTTTTTAGGACTCAAATTAGGACTTAATTTGAAAATTAAGGAAGCAAATAGGTTGGCCCCATGAAAGATCTGTTAAATATCCAATAGTAAATTTAAAACATAGTAATTCTCAGAAATTATGATAATCAAAACCTTTCAAACTTTACAAGTGGAATTAACATAGCTAAATTTTTTAAATGACTTCCAAAAGTCCCCATTCTGTGTCTTTCCCTCCTTCCCCAAATAACTTCCAGACAAGTAGAAGTTTTCATGGCATCTTTGGTTCTAGTTTGGGAATGGCTGGTATGAGGCAGAATAATCCAAGATATTTACCACCCGCTCTCCTTCCTGTCAATTTTTAAAAAATCTTTTTAAGGCTGGTGAAATACACGTGTTAGGATCTTAAAAAACTGTTTTCCTATTACAGCTATTTATGGACTAGTAGCTTGCCCCTATATGTATCAGTGTTACAGCCAGGGGAACAACAGGAGTAGTAACGGAGGCTCAAAGAAGTTAGAACTCTGCTGAAGTAATATTCAGTAATTTTTCCATTAAAAGATCCTTGTGGTAAAATATTGACAGTAAAAATCCATCAAAGTTAATTTTTATTAAAACCAAAGCACCAGTCTGCCCCCAAAAATTAAAAATGAAGCCACCGTGCACGGCCTTTCCCCATAATTTTTTTTGTGACAGTCTTGCTCTGACGCCCATGCTGGAGTTCAATGGTGTGATCTCAGCTCACTGCAACCTCTGCCTCCTGGGTTCAAGCTGATTCTCCTGCCTCAGCCTTCTGAGCAGCTAGGATTACAGGTATGTGCCACCACACCTGGGTGATTTTTGTATTTTTAGTAGAGATGGAGTTTCACCATGTTGGTCAGGCTGGTCTTGAACTCCTGACCTCAGGTGATCTACCCACCTCGGTCTCCCAAACTGCTAGGATTACAGGCATGAGCCACTGCACCTGGCCCGTTTACCATAATTTTAATGGCCAATCAGATCACTCAATTTCTCTCATTCACAACCAATACATATAAACTTTAAAATGAATATATCTTCAATTTAAACCTAAAACCTTTTATTCATATGCAGCAATTTACTTTTGGCATTCTCATTAATTTGGACCAGAGCTCAGCAAGAGGAGGCGTTCCTCTTCTCACTTTCTCTCCTTGGAACTCAAATGTAACTAAGTGTCTAAGCACAGTAACAGCATAGGATATTGAAATGCAGTTTCATAAATGGAATAATCAGCTGTATACTCACCCTTTTGACTATGGAGGTAACCTTTGGGAAAGCATTCCTAACCAAGTTATACTACATCTATACTACTGTGTGGTAGTAAAATATAGTAGTAGTAAAGCCAGTTCTTTAGCTTAGAAAAGAAACTAAAACTACATTTCCTTTTTAGTACCTTCTACTTTCCTACCCTTCCATTCAGAAAAGACAAGCAGGGCATGTTAATTCAAAAGGCAAAATGATTGCAATGCCAGATACTGATCTAAAATGTATTCTGCATTCAATATGGTCTATATCCATCCATTTATACTTTTGCCAAATGGCCATATATGTCACTGGTCAAGTACTTGGGCTTCCTTACGCACGAAACTCAGTTGCTTGGCCCCTAGAAAAGCTGTCAGTGAGGTGGAACTGAGTAAATCCTAGCTTCCACGTAGTCTGCTCATCCATAAGCCCTAGCCAAAGGTGTGGTAAACATTCAGCAATGGGGGCCCACTGGGCTCCTGATCCCAAATCCAGAGGGAAATCTTTCAGAGTTTATTAAAGATGTACACTGGAGTATACAAGTTTAGGTCAAGGGTACCTGAATCGCACTGAACTTTTGGGGGAATGCTTGATAAATGAGTGTGGGTTATAGTTAGGCTCATTTTATAGTTTATTTCTATTTGAATAGAATTTAAGGATGACTTAACTGAGATCCACCTGGGCACACAGGTACTTATTAATAAAGTCAAAGGATATTAATCTAAAGACCATTACACAAGGGCTATTTACAGAGAGAAACCCAAGACCTTTACTTTTTGTTTTTGAGACTGAGTCCCTGTCACTTAGGTTGGAGTGCAATGGTGAGATCTTGGCTCACTGCAACTTCTGCCTCCTGGGTTCAAATGATTCTCCTGTCTCAGCCTCCTGAGTAGTTTGGATTACAGGTGCATGCCACCATCCCCGGCTAATTTTTGTATTTTTTGTAGAGCGGGGGTTTCACCATGTTGGCCAGGCTGATCTCGAACTCTTGACTTTGTGAGCCGCCCACCTTGGCCTCCCAAAGTGCTGGTGGGATTACTAGCGTGAGCCACTGTGCCCGGCCCCAAGACCTTTACTTTAAATATAATTATATTTTAATATACTATGTATGACAAACAGATGGTTCTCAACTGCCTTTCATTCAGCCAAAGATGGTTAGGGTGAAACAAATACTGTTTTGAAAGATAAATATGGCACTGAATGTAATAGTGACAGTTGGGGGTTCATTAGTCACATTTAGGAAATTACAGTTTTACTCTGACAAGTTCTAACTCCCTTTTGTAATGATTCTCAAAATAATTTAACTGTGTTGTTAAATAATTTAACTGTTTTAACTCGGGAGACAAGTATGGAAGAATAAACTGTCAGACGAACAGTATTCTAAGATACCAACAATAAAATAATTAGCAAAAGCTCCACAGCTGCTGTGCTAAAAATAAAATGCTGGAGCAAAAAAAGACAAAAGGTGTGTGCACTGTTATCAAAATCTGTTCAAACACTCTTTGGAGAACAAATGTCAAATGCAACTTTAAAACAACAATGACAAACATTACCATGTAACACATATTTGGAAAAGCGATTAGGACTTTTTAACAATATGTAATTGACATATTATGAACAAGACCTACATATAAACAATGGGAAGCTATTGCTAACAAGTTATTTTCTCCCTATATTTTATCTTTAGCAATACCTGAAAACTCAATGAATTAGCCACAGGGTATTTTCCACTTTAAGAAGTAAAGCCATGTAGATAAAACCAAGTCTTCTATGTTAAATTTATGGGAGGTGATATAATGCAAATAATAGCCTTCTTTAAAGTGAGCTCTTTTTATTCTATCATCCTAAGGAGAAAAATTTACTCCAGTTAATGTTTTATAAATAAAGATTAACTTCGGCAAACCATTTAGGTATTGTGTCAAACGCTGGATTAGTGTATGGCACAGCAATTTTCTTCTGTCTAGATCAGTTGAACTGGGTAGGTCTGGCACATTAAGAATATGCTTGTCCTCAGAAGATAGGTCTTTTGTATCTCTATCAGGAGAATAAAATCAGAAGTCAGATCAAAGATTAAATTTGATGTTCTGACTCTCGAAAGAAAAACATTAGATGCTTCAGAAAAAAAAAATCACTATTAATTCCCCCCAACTGCCTGCTCCCAAAATCCCACAACACATTTTCATTCCAAATTACAGACAGATGAAAACCACAAAAACGAGTCCCTTTCAGAGGAACTTATATTTAATGCCCAGTAGATGAAGAAACCTCACATCAAATACAGTGCACGCTGCTGTATTTATATTTTGGATAGTTCCACTAACAGCTATACTGCAAACAATGAGGCTTGTTGTAAAAGGATCACCTGTACAGTTAAACCTCACATAGACACACAGCAAAACCAAATGTGTATACTTCCCTCAGTGGAAGAAGTTGAAAATCTAGATCTAGAAATGTATAAAAAGTGGCCTTGAAAACCTGCTATACCAAACACCTCTACAGACAAGATAAAAACAAAAAACAAAAATCAAACATTTGTTTTCCGGATTTTTCTTTAATACAGTTGCCATCTTACATGATGTACTATCAGGTGCCTTCTTAATAGCATCTAACCTACCCTTCTGTTGCACCGTTTGGCCTCCTGGGATGGAACTCTTGTTACCACCCATGTTTGCGGAGTACTGTTCTTTAGTACAGTACACCTAACTCACATTATCAGGCCATATAATTCATGGGTAGTGGTATTAATTTCTAAAACTGAATTAACGCACACATCCAAACCACGTATACTTTTCAACTGAAGAGTTCATACAAAGTCTATTTCCTTTCTACAGCAGCTATCGCTCCAGATTGTGGTTTAAAAATCCAAGAAGGGGGAAGAATGTCTTTTTTTTCAAAATGCTTCTTTCTTCCATCCTTTTTTCTTCCATCCTTTTTCTATCCTCCTTTTTTCCTTCTCTCCATTTTCTTTCTTCCATTCATCTCCTTCTTTCTTAGTGATAAGAGGTTAACAGAAATGGGCTATTAAGGAAATCAAAGTCTAGTAAACGTCCAAAACAGAGATCAGAGTAGTCACAAACTCTTCTTTGTAGTGATGTTAAATTACTGACAAATGTTTTTTTGAAAACAAAAAAAATCTAAAAACCAGCACAAGCTAGTGGTGCTGCATATTATTTAAGCAACTGGCGTTCTTCAATGCTTTTGAGGCGTTTCTTCCGGGGCTGTACAAAGTCATCATCTGAATCATCACTAAATTTATTATCTTCAGATTCATTCCTGAATTCTGGTTTGGGAAACCTTTTATCTGGATAGAGGTTCTTTAGAAGTTCTTCAAAATAATTTTCAAGTTTTATACCAGCATTGGCTACTTCTGAATCAGGCTGTTGAGTAAAAATAAAAATATGAGTAAAGAAAGGACACATTTTTGACTTGTGAGATTATATATATTAATGCGCTGTTTTGAAAAATGTTCATGCATAGTCATTGAAATAAATAATAGTCTAGGACTAGACAAAGTCTCTGTACAGAAGGCCAGCTAAAATAAAAGATTCATAAGTGTGGAAAAAAGTAAAAGATTGGATTATTCTAAAAGAAGGTGGTAATGGTAGGACTGTATTGCCAAAGATATATCAGTTAGGATTCCATAACCATAGGATCATGAACCAGGTATTTTTAGAACAAATTAAATGTAGTACTCTTACAATGAGTAACAGAGAACAAACCACCTAGCAGCAAAAGGTCCTAAGTCTGACAGATGTTTAGATGAACTGACAGATGAGAAATTTTTAAATTAGAGCTATTTGGCTCACATCCTTAATATTTCAAGATCAACATAAAAATAAGAAATAAAGGTGGGAATGATAAAGAATAATTTTAGGTCAGAGAAAAATATTTTGTCTTTCCATTATCAGCTGTAATTTACATTTCCATCACCATCTAATAAACCTTTGAATATAAATGTGGATAGAGTTATCTGAATTCTCTCCTGCATTCCCTGATCTGAAAAGTTGGAAATTTTTTCTAACTCAGACATCTTGGTCTCCTATGTTGACACGGTGTTTAGTATAAAATGATTTTCACACTGCTATTCCTTCCTGCCCCTCCCCTCCCCTAGCCTCACCTCATTGAATTCAGCACAGTTTTGAAAGATCAATCTAAAATCAGCTACAAAATCTTCAGGTTTTGAGTACATGGAATAATCTTCTTGTAGTCTTTTCTTGATGGTTGACAAATCCATTGGATTTTTAATTATTTTGTAATAATCAGGCACCTTTAAAAAAAAATGTTATAATATAAATAGCTAAATTCTACCTTGTCCTAAATATATCTATGCGATGTGCTCTAAAATTCAGAATGTTCTCATTGCTTTTCTCTGTGCTATCTGTCATTAGTAAAGAAACCCATTTAATAGTGTTTACAAGTGCCCACTGCCTTCCACATATATACTGGTAAAGGTTTGTGTTACTTTTTCCAAGAAGTTTAACCAATTATTGTTTTTGAGACAGGGTCTTGCTCTGTCACCCAGGCTGGAGTATAGTGACACAATCTCGGCTCACTGCACTTTGCCTCCTGGGCTTAAATGATCCTCTCACCTCAGCCTCTCGTGTAGCTGGGGCTACAGGCATGTGCTAACGTAGCTGGCTAATTTTTGTATTTTTTATAGAGATGGGGTTTTGCCATGTTGCCCAGGCTGGTCTCAAACTCCTGGGTTCAAGCAATCTGCCTCCCAAAGTGCTGGGATTACAGGCATGAGCGACTGCACCCAGTCCCAATTATTTTTAATGAAAAAACTTGTCTTCACATATTCCCTCTTAAATCATCTAGATTTTCTTTCTTCATTATTAAACAAAAAGCAATTACTAGAAATAATATCATTTCTAGTAGAATCTGACATGTTTTTGCTGCATGTATTTATATAACAAGTGGTAAAGAGGAAGAAGGACTTCGAATCTGGGTTTAATCCCCAGCTCTGCTGCTCAGTATCACAGTCCTGGGTAAGTTACTTAACCTCAGTTTCTTCATATTCCAGATAGGAATAATCCTGCCAAACTCACAGCATTTTGTACAGACTAAATGAGATGATATTTATTAAGAAAAAGGGGGCTACTTTGTCAGTGCTGTTGATATTAATAACGTAACTCTAGGCCAGGATAACAGAAAGCACAATTCAATACCCTGCCTCTTTTGGGTACAAAAGAGCCTTCTCCCTGGAAGTATTTATTTCCTGTATCAGGTTCTCCAAACCTGTTCTTAAGAAAGAAGCTGTTTATCAGCTGAATGTATTTACTAAGCTGATATTCTTCTAACTTTGTACTAATCTGAGATTTATCAAACTGTAGAACAAATTAAATTTTTTTTTTTTTGGAGACAGAGTTTTGCTCTTGTTGCCCAGGCTGGAGTGCAATGGCGTGATCTCAGCTCACTGCAACCTCCGCCTCCTGGGTTCAGACATTAGAATACTTTTTTGGGGTACCAGGCCCTTTCCAGCACCCTAAAATTATGCATTAAAGTCACATCAAACTTTCAACATGAACCTCAACTTTTTTGTATTGGTAAAGTCTACTTATTTATACTTGAAGTCTGGACCTATAAATAAAAATAAGTACGGAAAATTTAGCAGGGAGAGATGTCTTTATTTCAAAGTTTTTTTCCAACAGCTTTGGAAACATGCCTAAAACTCCTGAGATACAGACAATTAACAGAAATCACCCCAAACATCCCAGTACTAAGTAAAATAGACAAGAAAAGACGAAAGAATACCTGAGAAATGAACACAAGTTTTGGGCCACTTACTAAAAATGTACCTATGTAGAATCAAAGCATTCAGTATGTATTATTAAGATTTAAGGTTTAGATATTAAAAAATACTAGAAAATGATATATAAGCTAGATTCTCATAAATAAAAATTCCAGAAAAGCATTCCACTGTGTAAACATGCAAAAAATGACATTAATACTTACAGTTAGAGGAACAGGGTCTTGAAAAGCCAGGCTCATTTCATGGCAGTAAAGAAATAAAAGTAGGCGTTCACACTTCTAAGCAAAAATAAATAAAAACAGATAAAATATTATAAAACAATGAATTCACAGCTTATTTTAAATAACAATCTCAGAGGTTCCAAAGTATCAGACTAAAAATTTAAACTCAGATGAATACAAAAAAATTATTGATTCTTGGAGTTTTGTTCTCCTTCCCAATCATTAACTGAACTGTACTACTTGACAATTTAGGGTATATATGATATTTGGGAGCAGGCCCTGTAATTGAATGAACTAAGACAATCACTAGAAACCCATTTGAAGTTTTCTAACAATAAATTTGCACTTATTGCTCCAGTCTATGTATTATAAATTAATAATACTCCATAAAGGAAGAACATACGTCTCTCAGGAGAACTGGAGGTGGACCTTCTCAATGTGCATACAGACCTAAGGCACCTCTCTGCATGCAGAAGGTCCAACCATGTGCTCTGCTATTCATACTTCCCTGCTTATGGGTTTATCCCAGTAACCACTGAGTAGTACTGGCAGTGAATGGGCACGTCCCCTCTTGCATGACAACTTTCATATTGATTGTTCTATTTAATAATTTAGCAAAGGCGTTTTTTTGGTAACAAAGTGTTGACTTGGTAGCTGTAAATGTTATCTACAGTTAAATATATCGGTTGGCTTTGATGCATAAGTCTAGTCCCATTCGGTTAAAAAAAAAAAAGAATTATTTCCAGGAATAGTAAAGAAAAAACTCAGCTCCTTGGTGGCAATTCTGAGGAAAAAACTTATCTATGGTAGAAATAAAACAAAATAGAAATTTACTTAAGGTAGATTAAATTTAAAAGTCTAGGCTACATACTCCATCTTGTTCAGGTACAATAAGCTTCTATAAAACACATAATTCTGTGACTTTTTTTTAATTTAAAGAAAGTTATACCTTTGTAAAAAAAAAAATACTCCTAAATAAAAAGGATCAGTATAAAATCTGGATGGATATACACCTCTCTGATGAAAGGCACCACAGTACAATAATGCATCTTACCAAAAAATTGTCTAACATGCTAGGTTGGAAATGCTCAAAGACTTACCCTTTTATCTATAGGTGTTAATTTAACAAGGCCTTCAGTTTTCTTTTTTTCTGAGTTGTGACTGGGAGCATCACAATCATATTCAACTTCTGGTTTAGATAAGTCTCGGCAGAAAGTACAAATCCACTCTCCACTGTAGGGGGACAATGTACTTTTGAATTTCTAATGCATCATTTCCTCTCTTCACTATTTCCCTTTCCCACCTCCTCCATGACATCTATGATACAGAATTGTTTATTTGGCATGAATTTTATCACTCAGCATTTACCACATACCACTAGGTATACTGCACCATGCTGAGAGGAAACAGCAGAAATATAATGCAAGGGCCTAACATCAAAATCTAGTTAAGAAGGTGTGAGATACCTATATGAAAAAGAAAACAACAACAAAAAAAAAACCACCTAGACAAATTAACACATTAATCTAGGGCTCACATATCTAGGGCATAATTGAATTTTTTTCCTCCAAAGGATTCAGAAATCAGAAAAGCTCTTTGTACTGTTCTTGTTACTCTAAGTTTATAAAATTAAATTTTCAAAAGTATAGCCTTCCAAGAACTGAGAGATCAACCCAATGGCTCTTATCCATCTTGGTCAGGATGATGATCATCATCCCCATAGGGTTTGAGAATTTACTTGAAATACTTGTAAATGATACAGTTTGATGCCTGGAAAAAAGACATAATAAACTGGTAGCTATTATGCCTAAGGACATTGTTCCTTATGGTGACACCTTGTGATAATTTAAAGGGCCTATTATTTATTTTCTTTTTATAATGACTAGGGAGAGGGTCTTGCTGTATTGCCCAGTCTGGAGTGCAGGGGTGCAATCACAGCTTACTGCAGCCTTGACCTCTCAGGCTCAACCAATCCTCCCACCTTAGCCACCTGAGTGGCTGGGACTATAGGCATGCACTACTACACCTGGCTAATTTTTTAATTTGTAGAGACAGGGTCTCCCTGTGTTGCTCAGGCTGAATGATTAATTTCTTGAAAGAAGCACAAGGAATAAGCAGAAAGGTACGGGAAAACCTAGACTATTCACTGGGATTTTGGAGTATACATTTGTGCCAAGTGGAATTTCATTTAAGTAATCTTCAAAAGTTTAGAGTAAAAGAATGTGGGAAGGGAAGTACTATCTTACCTTGGAAAATTTGTCAATGTGGGCACATGACAAGAAAGATGGAATACTTTGGGGCACTTTTCACAGCAGAGGAGTTCCCCTCCGTTTTGACAAACTGCACACCAGTCCTCATTGGGGTCATCCTCTTTCCTTGTCTCTCCAACATGAAGGGGTGACTTCTGGGAAGGATCCAGCCACTCAGACTTTCCATTTGAGGAATTCTCCTGGTGAAGTCCAGGTTGATCTCCTGTACTATCAGGGGCATCTGATCTTAGCACAGTCTCCTCAGAAGTAGAGCTCTGACTGCTATTTAAGAGCAGGGAGGTGAGTATGCTTCTTGGATAATTGGCCTGTAGTAGAAAAAATATATATTTAACTGGTGTTAAAAAAATTTTATCACTAATGCAATTCTGAGCTGTAGGACCACTCTCTAGTGAGCACCTGGCTGCTTCAAAGGAATCTTCATGAGAACAGTGTATGTTTACTGCTAACTGGTATAGAAGACATGGACCTCTACTGAAAAATATCAAAATAGAGAAAAAAAATCGGAGTCTGGGGATGGCTACAGAAATTAGAGAATGGGTTGGGTAGTGTGGAAGTCAGTCACATGACCTATATATATACCTCACTGGAGCTGTTCATTCAAATTATACCTAAGATACACAAATTGTAAGATGAATCTGAACTTTCTGTTGAAGCCCAGGATGGTAAAAATTTCAAATCTATAACAAGAACAGTCTCCTTCAAATGTTTTCAAAAACTTCAAAGTAATAAATGTAGATATAGTTAAAAGCACTCATTCCTTAGAAGTACTATTTTCAAACCTAGCTTTTTCTTCTGCCATCTACCTCCATATTTCTAAATAAAATGACTGTTAAAGATTGCAATACATCTATAATCCTTGCTAGTGAAGATCAGGAGATTAGGTTTTTACATCCTGACTCTCCAACCCTGTCCTTCCATTCAGACACACACAAAACCACCACCACCATTCACCTCATCCCTTTAACTTAGTTTTTATTAAGCATTGCTTTTTTTAGTTGGTAGGTACCGGTGTAACTATTTATTGCCAGTATCTATTCCAACTGATCAGTATTTGTACTGGTTAAGTATTCTGAAAATCAAAATTTTTGGTTAAATGCATACATATTTAGGTTATATCCTGATGGTGTCACAGTTTTTCATTACATTTGTACTCAGGTGTTTCTTTATATCATTATTATGTAAATATTGTTCACTGTAGACCCACAAAATGTACTATGACATTTCTTTTTGTGCAACTTTTTGTTTTTACTAAGACTCTGTAATCACCTTATTTTTTCAGGTACCTATTTCTATGTGATTCTCCAGCAGGAGATTCTCAATACTGTTGAAGCATTTTTCTCCCTTTGGAGTCCTATGTCTTCCTGCTAGAGACTTCTGCACAAGCTGCTGCTGCTGTACTGTGGGTTGCCTTTTTCTTCTGTGTCAGATTCCATTTTTGGAATCTTATATCTTCTTTTTTCTTGTTTTACTATATTTTTGATGATACATATTATCAAATATCTTCCTGAGAATAAGTACTTAAGAATTATTTTGAAAACTTGCACAAAAATGTTTAATCTTCATGTCTGATAATTTGCCTGGGTATAAAACTCTGGTTAGAGAATATCTCTTTTTAGCTGCCCAGTCTCCATATTTGAGCCTCTGATTTTTTAAAACTTTCCTTTTTTTCCATCTTTGTCTTTTTGTTTAATTTCCTGAGAGATTCCCTCAAATTGTCTTTAAATCCCTTTAAATATAACATTAAAGAAAAAACTCCTAAGAGCTATCCAAGAGTTTCTCTCACCCTACCCACCATGCATAGGAATAGTATTGCAAGTATTCATAATTACATTTTGAGGCCTAGATTCTTCATCTGACTCTTGCTTCACTATAACAACAGGGAAATCATAATTTTCTGGTGGTCCACTGTTTTCTTGTTTTATTCGAATTGGCTCCAACATGACCACTGGGACTTTGTGTGTAGAGTCAGCTCCTGCTGGTTTGCTGGAAGAGCCAGAGCTGTAAGTATGAGAGAGAAGAAAAAGCAATCTAAGAATGTTAAGCTGAATACCTCATAAAAAGTATAACAACAACTTTCTAAAATAATACTGTATCTTCACAACAGTAAGTATGTTACATCGGCAATTAATGATGCCTAACGAAACTGCTATAATGCAAGTTTCATTTATGATAAAAATGTTTTACATATTAACCTATCTAAATAGTTATATATCTGGAAAGATGTTTCAATAAACCTAAACTTTTAAAAACCTGAGGCTTTACAATTAGGCAACCAGATTTAGTATCTGAGAACTGGCATCTGATTTTAGGCTTTCTCATTTCCTTCTCTAGTCAGTAGCAAAGTAATACTTTGGTGAAGACAGTGAAATAATCATTTATTTAAACAATGCTATTTAAAGAAGGTAGTGGGACAAAAACCTTTTACAGATATTTACTATGTTGTCATGGGATTAAAGGCAAACTTTTCTCCCTCAGACAATTCTTCCATATGATTAAGAAAGTAAGAACTGGGTTCACTAGGAGGAATTTTCAGGCATAATGCAGGGAAGAGGAGGGCAGTTGCTTAAAATAGAATTTCAATAACTGTATATTCATTTATTTTAAAGTAGAATCAATATTTAGTCATTAGAGATCAAATTAGCATAAAATTTTATCTTTCCCCTAAGTTTGTGTTTCTATATAGTGTACTGTATTATACCTATTCATTTTTGTTTTCTTTGCTATTATATGAATATCAAACATTTCTTATTTTCAACATATAGACAAATATTCTTCTATCTTCAAAGGTAAATTTGTACTTTTGTTAATCCCTTAACTTATTTATTAAAATTTTAATTAAAGATAAAGGAAATTGTTCAAAATATACTGAGTATCAAAACATGTTGAACACTGGAAGAGAAATCTAATTAGAGATTTTATGTACTAGAAAATATGGTTTAGTCAGTTTACCTTCCTCGGCTTCCAACGCTGGAGGCACTAGGTGAACGTATTGGGGGGTGTACACTAGTCATAGTAACAGGTCCTGAGGAGGGGGAAATCATACATTCATAAAACGAATGAATAATTATGCATTGAAGTCCTATTGAATGTGTTCACTTAGCACTACATTGAAACTGGGAACCATGATTAAATTATATGAAACAGTAAGTAGCTGCTGAATTTTCAGCAGTCTGTTACAGCCTGTTACACTGGCAGGGTTTTTCAACCTCTGCACTATTGACTTTTGGGCCAGATAATTCTCCTTGTTGTGGAGGGATGTCTCCGCATTTTAGGATGTTTAGCAACATCCCTGGTCTCCACCAATTATTAGATACCAGTGGCATCTCTATACTTCCCAGCTTGGGGTGTGACAATCAAAAACGTCTCCAAACATTGCCAAGTCTTTTTGTGTTACAGTAACAGGGGTAAGATCTCAGTGAGACCCTAGTGCCAGCGGAAGCTACAGAAGACAATGAAAGGTGGTATGGGCTGATAGAAAAGGAGTTCAAAAAAGAAAACCAAGTAAACAAAATGAGACCAACTAATGGAAGGCACAAAGTCAGATCAATGGGTTCAGACTTGAGGCAATAAGCAAAAGAGGGATTCTGGACTACTGCCCTAAAAAGATTAAGAAGCTATGCTCTGGTGGTAGTGTAGACAGGAACAAGGAAGATCTAATTAAAAGCAGCCAAGAAAGAAGGAAAACTGCTGTAAATAATTTTGATTTGAACTGATGAAGGCCCAAACTAAACAGTAACAGTAGGAATACAATCCAAGTGGGAAGCAGAAAAAAATTTCAAAGTGACAAGTTCTAAAAGGTTTGATGAACAACAGGATATGGCTGATAAAATGAAGAGAAAAAAATCCATTTCATTGGTTTGTAAACTCTGGAGAATTTCATTTAAAAATAAAACAAAAGGCCTGGGCAACAAAGACCCATCTCTAACAACAACAACAAAACAAAACAACAACAACAAAAAAATTAGCCAGCCTTGGTGGCACCTACCTGTAGTCCCCACTACTGGGAAGGCTAAAGCAGGAGGATCGCTAGAGCCCAAGCATTTGAGGCTGCAGTGAGCCATGATTGCTACACCCTGAGCAACAGAGTAACACCCTGCCTCAAAATCAATCAAAACAATGGCTATTTATAATCTTCTGATAATATAAGAATACATGCTTCATTTTAGAATAGTTGAAAACTATAAAAAGATATAACATTTAAGTAGCCCATAACTTCTCCATTCATATATAAACACTGCTAAGGTTGATATATCTCTTTCCAGTTTTAAACATACTTTTACATCTTTTATATGATTTACATCTTTTATATGATCTTTTATATGATTCTGTATACTTGTTTTCACTAAACAGTATTCCATGAGCATGCCATTAAAAACTCTATATGAGCATTGTTTGAATAGCAAATAATATTCTGTTTACAAGTAAGTACATTCTAATTTATTTTTATTCTCTTATATTTGGGCACTGCTTCAAAATTTTAACTACTGCAAATAACGCTTTAACAAATAGTAATATAAATATTAATAAATATGTTCTGCCTATCCAGTTCCTAATTATTTCCTTATAATTGGGGTATTAAAATGGAAATTACTGGGTTTAAGGGTACATACATTTCCCAAGCCCCTTGAAGCAAATATCCTACTAGGTAATACATATAAGGTACTTTGCCCACAGTACAATATTAGATAAATGTAAACTTTAGTAATATTGCTATGATGATTTCCAGGAATCTTTTGCCAACTCATACCCCTTCCACCTATGTATGAGAGTACCTCTCACATTCTCAATGACTATTTTTATTATTTAAATCTTAGCTAATTCAGTAACTTAGAAATTCTATCTTGTTTTGATTTTTCTTATGACCACTAGTAAGAATGACATTTTTGTCTCATCTGCTATATTGGATAAATGTATTTCCTCTTTAGGGAATTATCTACTTCATCATGTCCTTTGGCAATACCACATATGTTCCTTATTTGTATAAACCTGTCATATGATAAACAGTTTTTCTGCCATATTTTGTTGTAAGTTTGTTTAAAATAGGCATCCCCATTTAAATTGTGTTCATGTGATTGGTGAGTGACGCTTCATATTTTGGTTTAAGGTACACCTATGTCCTCAGAAGTAATATTAGAGTTCTCTCAGAGGAAATGAGTAGGTATGTTAAGATTCACAAACACAATTAAACACCAAACAAATCACCAAAAGAGTGATATTTCTACTTATTGTCACTAATACATTTTGACCCTAGGCAAATTACATCTTAAAGATCACATCACACGCAACTTATCAATAAGAGAGAAGATAACACCAATTTCCCCCTGGAAGTACTATAATGGTGGGAAGTTCTGTTGAAATTGAAAAGGTAAAGAAGGCCTGGTATGATGGCTCATGCCTGTAATCCCAAAGCTTTGGGAGGCTAAGGCAGAAGGATTGCGTGAGGCCAGAAGTTCAAGACTGTTTCTACCAAAAAACAAAAAACATTAGCCACGCTTGGTAGAGCAGCACACTTACAGTCCCAACTACTCAGGAGGCTGAAGTGGGAGATCGCTAGAGCTCAGGAGTAAGTCTGCAGTGAGCTATGATTGCACCACTGCACTCAGGCCTGGGCAACAGAGTGAGACTGTGACCCAAAAGAAAGGATAAAGAAATTTAACCTTTGTTTTCTTTGAAAGCATACTAATTTTACATAGTGAAAAACTCAGATTAAGCATTCAACAAAAAAGAAAGGGAAGAGGGGTATTTTTTATTCCAAGTTAAGTGAAAACTAGAAAAACTTTCACAAAAATCAAAAGAAGCCCACTTTACCTGCAAGGCCTGGAGATGGCACTGATGAATTTGGTGACTGGACCGTTCTGTTTGAGGGTGGTCTTGGCTGGCCATGATCTATATTAGTATCTTTTCTCACAATATTGTCCAGCATAATAGTACTCGAACAGTCAATCTTACAAGAAAAGAAATTATTTCAGGGCATTCTGACTTTGCAAGTTAAAAGCTACTTTTAAATTTATAAGAAAGCTTCAATAACTTAATTATTATCAAATAACAAAACATAGATACCACATTTGAGAAGTTCTAACAGATATTTTCCCCATAAACAACCTTGAATAAAGGTTTTCACTATCTTAGTGTTTCACCTTAGTAAAATATTGAGGACAGTATTTCAGAAACAAGAGTCAAAAAGTATCATGTCATTCACACTCTTAAAAATTGAAAAAAAATTCTTAATTTATAAAGAAATGACAAAAGGTTGCCATATGAAAAACATAAACTTGGTGAGAAGACTATCACAATTTTACATTTCTTGCAAATCTCTTTAATGTCTCCCTAAACGGCATTCAATCTATTGTGGTGTATGGTTTTGCTTGAAAAATATGAAGAAAATCTAGCCTCACATAGATAGGACCTAGTGGACCCTCTGAAAGGGATACTTTAGCAACTGATACTCTGGGTATGTGCTAGATAGATGAAGTCCATATATCTATAGCACTAACCTCACTGAATACATTACTCTTGTTTTGTAGGAGAAAAGATGAACCCTAAAGATTCTTGCTTTAATATAACAGGAATACAAATAACACTGTTTTCCTTATCCACTGCCAGGCAAAAATACTTATAAATCCCTAATGAGTAAGAGTTTACTGCTTTAGGCACAAAAATTCTTTCATGCCTACATATACCAAATTTCCCACCAATGTCTTTGGGTTTAAAATCCAGTTCAATTCTTTAACATAGTTCTACTCTTGATTCATCCAGGATTCTATAAGATAATTAAGTCCTACAGCCATAGGGCACAGTTTGTATATAATTAATCAATTTCTTGCTTATGCACCTAGTACTAGTTATGAAGCACCTTTGGGAGAAATGAGAAAACAGTCACTCATTTTAGTTTATTCTGTAATTCATAAGAGGAATTTCAGGTAAGAAAGGCTGGTGGAAAAAGGTTCACCTGTATGAGATCTGCAGAGGAAAAAGCAGAAAGAATTTTACTTCCTGTGGGTTCGGGAGCGGGGGAAATCGGGCTGGGTGGTTAATACACAGGGTCATTTTTGTTTTAATATTCTTTTGGCAATACTTGGCCAATATTTTTCAGAGAGTACAAAAAGTACTAGAATGACTAAATTCGTGAGAACTTAATACAAGGAAAGTTGTTTATGTTGTGGGATAATCCTAAAAATCAAATAAAACTATGGGGATTAGATATAAGTTTTCCTATGAACCATCCATGCATGAAAAAATATATGTATCCTACTCATTTAAAGTATACAAAACTATTTTAAAAATGGAATGACTCTGGTAAGATTAACAATGCAACTATTAGGAAATATTAATTGATCTCAACTTGAAAAACAAATTAAATAATGAAAATAAAAAAGTTCTTTTTACAATCTTATAGGTAATTCAATCCAAGTAAAGAGTACAAGATATTTCCTAAAAGCTTCTTAACGTTAGGCTGCGTATGTGTATGTGCACGACAGTGGGTTATCTAACCTTAGATTTAAAAAAGGATCAAACACAGAATCAACTTATATATAGAGATATGTCTACAGAATGTAGAATTTCTCCCTTTGGAATAGTCAAACTGGCTGGGTGTGGTGGCTCATGCCTGTAATCCCAGCACTTTAGGAGGCCCAGGCGGGAGGATCCCTTTAGCCCAGGAGTTCAAGACCAGCCTGGGTAACATAGGGAGTCTCCCCCATCTCTATTAAAAATAAAAATCATTTAAAAATATAGTAAATAACAAAAAGTCATACTGACAAAGAGTTTGGAGAGTGAGTTAATTCACATGTAATATAAACCAGAGGTAATTTTGCACTTGTCAGTATGATCTAACAGGATTTCTCTTATTAAACTTGTCTTCATCTCTTCTGATGTCCAGCCATTCAACTTTCCAGCATATCTTTCCATGTCCTTACTTTTCTCCTTTCCCAGCTTAGATTCCATGATCCATCACCATAATCACTCATTTACAAACACCTTTAACTCTGGTGGCTTGAAAGACATTAGGTTATGTGTCCAATGTTCATAATCTTTTTACTTTTACTACCGTTGTAATATTCTAAAGGATTAAAATTAACTTGTAAAAACAAACAACCTATAATCCAACAAATTCATGCCTTCTACCAGATCCAAATTCACTGACAATTTTCTTTCTTTCTTGAGACAGGGTCTCGCTGTGTTAGGCTGGAGTGCAGTGGCATGATCTCGGCTCACCACAGCCTCCGCCTCCCAAGTAGCTGGGATTACAGGCGTGTGCTACCATGCCTGGTTAATTTCTGTATTTTTTGGTAGAGACAGGATTTCACTATGTTGGCCAGGCTGGTCTCAAACTCCTGACCTCAAGTGATCCATCTGCCTCAGCCTCCCAAAGTGCTGGGATTACAGGAGTGAGCCACTGTACCTGGTGGACAATTTTCAACAGACTCTAGTATAAATTTTGTGTTTACTTACATCTGGAAGAGAGGGAAGATTATAAGACCCTCCCACTGGTGAGCTCAAGTCGATCATAGGTGAACCAAAAGCCTTTCCATCGTATCCTGCTGCACTAGTAATCGTGGGACTGGAAGGAGTAGAGGATGTGCTGTTGGTAGTTGATGGGGTTCCCTGTCCACTGCTGATCTGCCACTATAGTAACAAGAAGGGAAGAACAAAGGCTATCAACAAGCTTATAAAATACAAAGTCTATCTAATCACTCACACAAAATGAAGTAGAAGAGTTCAACTGTAATTTACATGGAAGGAGAATGGGACAGGGAAAGACTGTACAAGTATATATAATTTTCATTAATCTTGTCAAAAAAAAAAAAAAAAAAAAAACACACACACAGTAAAAAGCACTGATTTTTACTGGAAGACAACAGTTAGTATATACCAGAAAATCACAGTACCCAATCTTGGCAGGTTTATAAGTACTGGAAAAAAAAAAAAAAAGTAAATATATACATAGCAACTTCAAGTTAAAGATGGGGGGTTGAAAACATACATTTCTTCTATCCCTATCTGAAACACCTGAAAACAATAAGCTACAGACTGGTGCTTTCAGGATTTTATATTCCTCTTTCTTATATATAAAGAGATTAATTAGGCCTCGATAAATATCCGAGGAAAGTACTATCATTCCTGCTGAGATAAACACATTAAGATGATGACAGGCTTGCTGAAGTATATAGAAGTGAAGCATGCTGTCTGCAATTTACTCAAAACCTATTGAAAAATATGATAGGCTGGGCATGGCAGCTCATGCCTGTAATTCCAGCACTTTGGGAGCCCGAGGTGAGTGGATCACTTAAGGTCAGGAGTTCAAGACCAGCCTGGCCAACATGGTGAAACTCCATCTCTACTAAAAACACAAAAATTAACTGGGTGTGGTGGTGGGCACCTGTAATCCCAGCTACTTGGGAGGCTGTGGCAGGGGAATCACTGGAACCCAGGAGGCAGAGGTTGTAGTAAGCCAAGACCCCACACCAGTGCACTCCAGCCTGGGCTACAGAGAGCGAGATTCCACCTCAAAAAAAAAAAAAAAAAAGGATGACTTGATGAACGGACAAAGAAATAAATATGTAATAAGGCAAGCAGAACAAAATGTTCCCTATATAATTCTTTCAATTTGTATTATGTTTGAAAATTTTCATGCTGGGAGAAGAAAAATAAGAATATTGCAAGATGCTGTATTTTCCAAACATGGTCATTCATAAATGAACAACACTATATAGAGAGACAGTGTCTGAAACATTTTAATTGTGAAAAACCTAATTTATATATTCCATTGTAAAAACTACATACAGAAACATAGTTGGACATGAATGTCCTCTTTACCACCTACTCCTCCCTCATATTCCCTACCCCTATGCCCCCTTTCCTCCTCCTCTACCAAGAACAATCAGTTAGTTGGTGGATCGTTTCAGGTTTTTTTCTATGTACATGATGAGGCTGGAGGAAGACACACACATAAATGAGATAACACCTCACAAAAATTCTATAACATGCTTTTCCTCACATACTCAGAAAATCATATCTAGATTATTGCATTTTCTTAATATCTGAAAAGTATTCCACTGTATGAGTACATGTTAATTTCTTAAACTCATCTACTACTTAAAATCAATTTCCCACTAGATTTTTTCCTGGCTTGTTCACTTATTCATTCATGTTTACAATTTTGGTCAACAACCATTTTAAAAAAACATGTTTAGAGTGCCTACTCATTAAAATATAATAAATAGGGAAGAGGTAAACATGTGAGTACTGAGCATGTGCTAGGTGCTTGTGTATACTTTAGAATAAACTCTCAACATTAACTCTGCAAGATACTCATTTTATAGCTGAGGCAAGTGAGATGTGAAAAGACTAAGCGCCACAAAATTCTTAGGTAAATAAGCAGAATTTAAGGCCAAACTGAAGCTTTTTACTTTCCTTCAAATGATGAAATAATTGGTATGAATTTTATTTTAAATAATTAAAATATTGTTTAAGAGAATTTGGTGATGATATAGAAAAGCCAAATTGATTATACAAACATATGTATAGACACAGAATGTGAATACTTTTAGAATATTAAAATGATTTTATTAAAATAAATGTTACAGAATTATGAAAATTGCATCATCTTTTATTTTGGTCTTGGAGAAAAAAATTAAACCAAAATCAGTCTACAATCAGCTAGACAGGTTGTTGTCACAGGAGCTTTGAGAAGAAAAAACACTGTGATAACTTTCACTTTAGGATAATGTAAAACACAGAAAATGTTTTTACCTGAAGACATTAAGAATATAAATAATACAGCCAGGTATGGGGGCCCACACCTGTAATCCCAGCACTTTGGGAGGCTGAGGTGGGCATATCACCTGAGGCCAGGAGTTCAAGATCAGCCTGGCCAACATGGTGAAACCCTGTCTCTACTAAAAATACAAAAATGAGCCAAGCATGGTAGTGGGCACTTGTAATCCCAGCTACTCTGGAGGCTGAGGCAAGAAAATCACTTGAACCCGGGAGGCAGAGGTTGCAGTGAGCTGAGATCATGCCACTGTACTCTAGCCTGAGTAACAGAGCAAGACTCCGTTTAAAAAAAAAAAAAGAGGCCAGGCATGGTGGCTCACGAGTTTAGGAGATTGAGACCATCCTGGCTAACACGGTGAAACCCTATCTCTACTAAAAATAAACAAAAAGTTAGCCGGGCATGGTGGCGAGTACCTGTAGTCTCAGCTACTGGGGAGGCTGAGGCAGGAGAATGGTGTGAACCCAGGAGGCGGAGCTTGCAGTGAGCCAAGATTGTGCCACTGCACTCCAGCCTGGGCAACAGAGAGAGACTCTGTCTCAAAAAAAATAAAAAATGAAAATAAATAAGCTGTATCATATTAAATATGCATTAAATAATAAACTTCATCAGATATATATGTATTCCTTCTTGAAACTGTGCCATAATTTTGTTTCCAAGAAATCTTCTTGGGACACTTCGAATATTGATTTATTGTTTTATTTTGTGGAATGTAACTTGTATTTGTTAGAATACTTTTATCTTAGGAAATTTAATATACTCACCTAAAAGTTATCCATACCATATTATAAAAATTAATACCTATGGTCATTGATTATATTGGGCCTTCACTTCTACATAAGTGGTTTAATTTCTCTTATTGATAAAAAGCATCAAACTTTGCAATTCACATTATTTAAAAAATGAAAAAGAAAGCTTGCTCTTGGCTCTTTATTTGCTGTTGCTTAATCTATAAATTCATTGTGATCTGAAAGTAGAAAGCAGCAGAATAAGCAATTGAGAAAGGAAGGTAGATCTATACCTGTTTTATGGCTTGTTGAGCCAAGAAAGCCATCTGTAGGGGATTGGGCTTTATTGCTTGTCGTGGTATATTCTGGTTTGGTGGATACCTCAGTTGTTGAGGATGAGGAGGAAGAACTGGTCCATTGGGTTTGGGGCTGTGATTCTGAAAGTTTATCAAACGTGGAGGAGGTTGCTAGAAAAAAGAAATTAAACCAATTTAGTAACAATCTGCTTCTGAAAAACAAATTATAAATCTCTATTTTATAAAACTTTTACAGAAAAACAGAACTCTGCCACAGATCAATCAATTAAGATTGACATAAGGGAATGGGGGTGGGGGTTGGGCAGACTTTCAGAATTTGTGTAAACAACTTTTTTAAAAGAACCTTATTAGGAAGGAACCTTGGGAGAGGGATTGCCACCTAGATTTTGTAAGTAGATTGTACCAGTATTGGACCTAGGCCATGTTGGGAAATAGGTAAAATGTTGTCTTTGGTATCCTTCTAAGTCCTTCACAATTATCTTTCACAGAGAACTACCCTTTTGAGACCTCCTAAAAATAAAGTGATGGTAGAATAATAATTGCTAACACTTATTGAGCAGTTATTAAATGCCAGATACTGCTTTAAGTGCTTCACATGTATTCACTAATTTATTCTTAACAATATTATAAAGCACAGATTATTTGTATTTTATAGATAAGAAAACTAAAATAAGGCACAGAAAATTTAGTAACTTGCCCAAGATTAAGAAAGACAGTAAGGCATGGAGCTGGGATTTGAACAAGTAGTCTGGCTCAGTGGGTGTACTCAAACAAATTGTTAATAATGAAAATAGTTGATATTAATAACACTTAATAAGTTTTAGATCTTAATGAGCCCTGCCAGGCATTTTACATATTATTATGTCATTGAGCCTTATGCAGTAGGTATTATTACCTTTGTTTTGTAAATTAGGAAACTAAAAGTTTGAAAACATAGATAATTTGAAAAAAGTCACACAGCTAATACCAAGCAGCACACCAAGACTTTAATCCAAATCTAGTCTGCCATATCATTGCCAAAACATGTTCTGGTGCTTAGCTGGCTGTTAAGACACTGACTAATTACAACTTAGAGGATAAGTCTCCATAGAAGAAAACATATTTTGTTTTTTTGTTTTGAGATGGAGTCTTGTTCCGATCTCGGCTCACTGCAACCTCTGCCTCCTGGGTTCAAGTGATTCTCCTGCCTCAGCCTCCCAAGTAGCTGGAATTACAGGAATGCCCCACCATATCTGGCTAATTTTTGTATTTTTAGTAGAGATGGGGTTTTGTCCTGGTTTCGAACTCCTGACCTCAAGTGATCAGCCCACCTCAGCCTCCCAAAGTCCTGGGATTAAAGGCTTGACCCACTGTGCCTGGCCAGAAAACATATCATCAAAGCCAAGTCTCCAAGAACAACCCTGGTTGATTATAGGAACGCTGGGTGAAGGAATCACAAACGAGGCTGAAGCAGAAATTAAAAAGAGAAAAACAAGTTTTCCTGTACTTAGCTGACTCACTCCAAGGCCAGCAATAGGCAGGGCCCTGGCAAAGCCTTGATAAAACTATCTGGAAAGCCAGAGCCCAAAGGAAGGAGCTCCAGAGATTCTCCCAACACCCCCTCAGAGCAAGGTTAAGAAAATCAAATTCCTTTACTATCTCCTCATCCCCCTTACCATTACTCAATTTCCAAGTTTTGTAAGTTCCTGTTTTTCCTTCAAAGCAGCTGCAAGGTCACAAGCTATGCTAAGGATTACGAAACCTGTCACTGTTTGATTAACTGCCTTTATTCTGCTTCTGTAAGCCTGCTTGCCTGCACCACGAGTTTTACACCATTAGATTCCCGCTGTGCCATTTAAACTAGCCAACCCCCTTTCAGAAGTGTGTATAAAAGTCAAGCCCTGTCTTTGTTCGGGGCCTACCCTTTGGATGTGAATCCGTTGGGCCAGTGGCCACTTAAATAAAATCCTCCTGTTCCACCTATTGGTCTCTCCAGTCCTCTGATTCCCAAAACATTTTCTGGGGGCTCGCCCAGGATTAGAGACGACAGGTTTACTGTCTCTTTGCCTGTGGGACTGGAGTCCTGGGCCGGGGGAGACCCATGCCCCCAGGCACCATTGGGAGAACTTCAATCCGGAGGGGTGATCGGCTCTCCCACGACCCTACCTGACAGCACAATGGAACCTAAGGGGGTACAGGATGATTCCAGGAACAATGCACTACAGGATCGTGGTAAGGTTTGGGCCTGAGGCAGGACCTGTCCCATAAGAACAGAAGCGGAGCTTGATCACCTCCTGGGGAGTAACTAGTAGTCTGACACACGACGTGAGAGTGGCTTGCAAAGTCAGGGAAACTCACACCCCAACCGACCCAGGGCACGAAAGCGGCTCGCAGAGTCGGTTGAGAAAGGGGAACTGGGAGCAGGGAAGTGTGTGAGTGTGTGTGAAAGAAGCAGTTCCAGGAGGAACCAACACGGGGAGTGACATGTGGGGGCTGCAGGTCTCTTCGCACAGACCGTACACTCTGAGAGAACTGTGGGACCGACCCGGACTAGAGGTGATCCGCATATGGCTTAGGGAGGTGCCCCACAATTTAGTATTTGTGGGGGTCAAAATGGAGCCTCCAATGCTAAGTGGCGTCTGAAATACTCCTGCGAGGGGGACAGTCTAATCGGTCTGAAGCAAAAGAGTGTGTTGCGCTGTAACTGGGAGGAAATATGAGGGAAGTCGTCAAAACCCACCCCATTACACTGTATGTTAAAAAGTTTTAAGAAAGGTTATGCAGGAGATTATGGGATGAAGTTGACCCCTCGGAGGTTGAGAACTCTCTGTGAAATAGAATGGCCCTCTTTCAGTGTCAGATGGCCAGCGGAAGGAACTATAGATAGGGAAACAATTGGCCATGTATTTAAGGTGGTGACTGGGGTCGAATGACAGCCAGGGCACCCAGACCAATTCCCTTATATTGACTCATGGCTAAATATAGTTCAAACTCGACCTGCATGGTTGTAGCCCTGCCTGGCAGCTTACTGCAAAATGCTTGTGGCTCAGACCGAGCCTAAAGTGAAAGTAAAATCTCAGCTTCGCTGGCAAATATGGAGACAAAGGAAAAGTCATGGGAAGGGCAAGAGAAACCAGTTCTGCAGGAACTGCCGGAGGAGATAGAAATTCCTCTTCCATATATTCCAATCTACCCCCATTTACCGAGGCCAACGGCCCCCAAGGAGTCAGATTCAGATGGTAACATGCTCCAAGACTCACCCCAGAAGGAAAGATCGGGGCCCCAGGAGGTCAGGGAAGAAAGACAAGATGATCAAGCAGGCTGCCTCCGATCTGGTCACGCTTGGGCTATGCAAATGCCTCTCAGGGAGACATGGGGACCCATCTATTATGATGAACCAGGTCAAGTCCAAGGAGGGCAATGGACCTTCATCTACCAGCCTTTTACAACCACTGATCTCCTAAACTGGAAACACCATACCCCCTCCTACATGGAGAAGACTCAGGCCCTCATAGATCTAATGCAGTCCATCTTCCAGACACACAATCCAACTTGGCCAGACTGTAGGCAGCTCCTCTTGACGCTGTTTAACACTGAGGAGCACTGGAGGGCAACCCAGGCAGCTCTCTGCTGGATGGAAGCAAGTGCACCTGAAGGCACACTTAATGTTCAGGCATGCACTCAGGACCAGTTCCCAGAAGCAGACCCCCACTGGGATTCAAATGATACAGCCCAATTACAGTACCTACAGAAGTACTGAGAAGCACTCTTGCAGGGGCTAAAGGAAGGTAGGAAAAAGGCAATCAATATAGGAAATATCTGAGAAGTACTTCAAGGAGCTGATGAGAGCCCTAGCCAGTTTTATGAGAAACTCGGTGAGGCATTCCAGCTTTACACTCCGTTTGACCCTGAGGCCACTGAAAATCAGTGCATGGTGAACACGGTATTTGTAGGACAAGCCCAGGGTGACATCAAGTGCAAGATGCAAAAGGTAGAGAGTTTTTCAGGCATGAATGCCACCCAACTTATAGGAGTGGCCACCAAGGTGTACGTTAACCATGACCAAGAGGCAAAAAAGGAAGCAGATCAGACGCTTAGGAAAAAGGCCGATACGTTAGCAGTGGTCCTCACGGAAACTAGCATTGCGAGGGGGCACAGACATGGACACGGGTGCAGATGCAAATGGGGCCAAACTGGACAGAGGCTCGAAAGCTCGCTGAGCTAGATAAGGACCAATGTGCATGATACAAAAGGGGACACTGGAAAAATCAGTATCCAGACGGCAGTGAAGAAAATGGCCAAGGCTGCGAAACAAAAAATCCACTTGTCAAAGGCTGCTGCACCCTGAAGGAACCAGATACTGACCTGATTGGGCTGGCAGGGACTGAAGAATACAAGGACAAGGACAGACCGGGCTCCTTCTCCTTAGGCCCCCAGGAGCCCATGGTCACGTTAGAAGTGGGGGGCCAGCTAATGGACTTTATGGTGGACACTGGGGCTGAACACTTGGTAGTAACCCTACCCATAGGACAACTATCCAAACACTATACAACTATTTTTGGGGCCACCAGGGTCTCAGAAAAGAGGCCATTTTGTCAGCCAAGGAGGTTTGTTATAGGAGGACCAGAGGTCCAACATGAATTCCTATACCTCCCAAATTGCCCAGTTCCCCTCCTGGGGAGAGACCTACTCCGAAGACTGCAAGCACAGATTGCTTTTGGGACGCAAGGGGATATAACTCTAAACGTGACTCACCCAAAGGCCATGGTGTTAACCCTTACTGTCCAGCAAACTGAGGAATGGAGGCTATACACAAAAAAGCCACCAAAACTGTCTCACGAACCAGGAATACTTGAATTACAGAGGCTACTTAATAAAATTCCTGGAGTATGGGCTGAAGATAACCCACCCGGGCTGGCTAAAGATTAGGTGCCAGTGGTAGTAAAGCTAAAACCAGGGGCAACCACAGTTCGGTTTGCCAGTACCTGCTTTTCCCAGAAGCCTTATGAGGCGTTCACAAACAGAGTGAGTGACTCTACAAACATGGCCTCATGTTTGTAGTCAAATGCCAGTCACCCTGGAACACTCCACTCCTGCCATTACGGAAGCCGTCTGGAGAATATAGGCTGGTGCAGGACTTGTATGCTGTGAACCAGGCTACAGTAAACATC